CCTACACTATTTTAGTGTCTTCTCTTAAAATTTGTCAGGAAATTCTAGGCCAAGGAAAGGTATATCTGAAACAGGATAACTCACCTTTTGGCAGAGAGTTGACCTTGGAACTTCGCGAGCACGAAGCAGAATTGCTACCCATTGTAATTTTATGTAGTACTACGGGTGTAGTTAATATATTGTGACATGCGGGCCGTCTCTATAAAAACAGAGGAATGTCATCGTTGCTAGGCAACAACACCATAAACATACTCGCAGCAACGAATACAGACAAGAATAGGGAATACTTCGTTATAACTCGTTGCTAGACAGTTGCGTTACGATACAACAATGGAAGGGTTTACTGTGTGGTCTGTTTCGAGGAATTATAAGAGGTTCTAGACTATTTTTTATTGACAGTGGGCTGGGACTAACTCCCTTGTACTGCGGCCACTTCTGGCGTATTGTACCAGCCCCAGATGATAGGTGAGGGTGATTGTGGAGCAATTGGTGGAATAAAGATTGGCAGGGGAAACCGAAGTACTCGGAGAAAACCTGCCCCAGCACCACTTTGTCCACCACAAATCCCACTTGACCAGACCCGAGATCGAACCCGGGCCGCCGCGGTGGGAAGCCAGCGACTAACTGCTTGAGCTGTGGAGTGGCGAGGTTCTAGAGTAACTTTCTTTAAAAGAAAAATACCTCCACCATGACCCTGCGAGTCGTAGGAGGCGACGAAAGGGGAAGTCTCAAATTTGAGACAATAATATATGGTCTCGAGTACCAAGGAACTCAGACCCGAGAAGGACTGCGCTGGCAAGGAACAGCAGCATATACAAAAGACAGACCCGTCCTCTCGTCAGAGAGGGCGCCCACAAAAAACAAGACCGTAACTATCAAACAGTAATAAATATCTGGTCATGAGCCCCAGGAGGGTGCTCGACACCAAGACTTACTGACTGACTGGCCGTCAGTCGCAATATGACTTTGACTTTGACTCTGACTTTGACGAGGAGTCAGCCCAGGAGGGTTCAGTTGAGAGTTCAGCTCTGTACGGGCGGTTGTGAAGTGACGACTTTATGTGTAATATTTGGAGTGTGTAATTCAGTGAAGACATTGTAAAAGCGTAGCCATTTTTGACATATGTTATCTAGCAACGAGTAGTGTAAGCAGACTTTGAAGACGTCATTTATGTGTTATAATTACAGTAATCCTTAGAGTGTTATAACTAATTATAGTAGTTAGATCTGTAAGTGGTCAATAAATCCAATTACCAATCCGAACCCCGTCTTCAGTCACTAATACACGTGACAATATCCAGGAAGCTAATTTAACATCTATATGTAGCTCCCTTGCTTGGAAATGGCCGAAGTATAGGGCCTTTAATAAATGCATGGCAGTGGGAATGTAGTAGTGTTAGATGAAAGTCCTGAAGGCAAAATGCCACTTGAAGGACTTACACTTTCTTCAGAGGACACTATTAAAATACCTCTTAAAGAGATATGATATGGTGTGAACTGGATTAAAATGGTTCAGGATAGTGGCCAAAAGCGAGACTTTTCAAATAAGTTTATGAGACTTCGGGTTCCACAAGAAGTAGAGAAGTTTTTGAGCAGCTGAGTGAATATTGGCTAATCAAGGGATCCAAGATTTAAGGTGAAATAAAGCGGTATGTATTTCCTGACCCTGTCTACCTCTTTAAGACACCTGTGGACGGAGAACAAGGAAACAACTATCTTGGTTTGCAGTGTGGTTTCATGAATATGTAAAGCATGCAACAGAATGTTATTGCCTCAGTTCATGAAACTGGTCACTTCCGCGTGAGTTTGCAGGAACTTTGCAGCCACAGACTGAGGATAATATGAAGCCAGTGCGACGTGCTGACGTGCTGTATATACGTACTGAGTCCGTTTCAGAAGTTCACACACAAAACCAAAGCTCAAGATGCGTCACTTGCGAAGGACAATCCAACTAACCTACCAACTCCAGTACCTTGGAATATGTAAGGACTGCCTACTTCCATCCTCACATATACTTTTCATTTAATGTCATATATTAGGCCGCGCCACAACTCAAGCGGTTAGTCACTGGCTTCCCATCGCGGCGGCCCGGTTTCGATCCCGGGTCTGGTCAAGTAGCATTTGTGGTGGACAAAGTGTCGCTGGGGAAGGTTTTCTCCTAGTACTTCGGTTTCCTCTGCCAATCTTCATTCCACCAATTGCTCCACAATCACCCTCACCTATCATCTGGGGCTGTTAGAATAGGCCAGAAGTGGCAGCAGTACAAGGGACTTAATCCCCCCCCACTAGCAATAAAACAAAAGTCATATATTCGACTCATTCGACGTAATTTAACACTTTCAGCGCAAGCAATGCCTTAAAATATTCTAAGAACCAATCAGTTACAAGCTTATTTTAATTTGCTGTACAAAGAAGAGCGGCCAATCACAGAGGCGGCGCATTCTAAGGCATGAACCGTTTTCGCTTGCTCGAACGCTCGGATAGGGGTTCGAATCCCACTCAAGGCATTGATGTCTATGTGCGTTTATTCCATGTTTGTGTTGTTCTGTGTAAAGGTAGCGACCTTGCGATGGGCTGATCCTTCGTCCAAGGAGTCCTACCGTCTGTGTGTAGGATTAAGAAACTGAAAATGAGGCCAATGTCCAACAAAGGACCGTTTCCACAAATGTAAATACGTAGTATGATCAAGTCGAGGAGAATGAGAGAAGAACATGTAGCATGCATAAGGGAAAAGACGAATGTATTACAGAGTTTTGCTAAACAAACCAGAAGGAAAGAGACTACCAGAAAGACATCGAATTATGTCAGAGGATAATATTAAAATTGATCCTGTATAAAGAAAAGGCGAAAGCTCTAGATCGCATTAAGTGGAGGAACTGTTTGCGAAGAGACTGTGGACCTGTCGTCTGACAGATTACTGATGAATGAATGAATGAATAAAGAAAATGGGGTATAAACTGGATTTATCTTGTTCAGGATAGAGACCTGATATAACCTTTTGTGAAAACGGCAATGAAACATTGGGCACCCTGAAATCCTGGGTATGTCTGGAGTGGCTGGGCAACTGCTGGCTTCTCAAGAAGAACACCTTCATGGAGTTAGTTGGTAACAGGGGTAAGGAAGTGGAATATATGTAAGTAGAATGGCGACTAATCACATTGCGAAGGGAGGACAGTCAAGTCCTTACACGTCTTTGAACATTAAATGTGCTTCAGATAATGAACACTGTATAACATAATTGCGATGTAATGAATAAAATTTTGGGACAAGCTGTTATTGAATTATTGGAAGCTACTCGTACATGCAGAGGTCTCCAGACTAGTTCCAGTGCCCTTTCTTCTCTGATATTCTGAATAAATAAAGTGCATTTAAATAATAAAATATGTTGACGAATACTGTACTCTGGAATATAATGTCGTGTAGTCTGATAGAAAGGTTCCAATGTTTCGGAGTAAATTTGTGTGTCCATGTTCAGAATAAAAAGTTTATTGAAGACGGAGGAAGCAGGTTCCACCGAAGTCTTTGTGCCTTCCTACAACTCTACACGACGTCGAATCGCACAAAACAGTAATTTTCATATTCACCACCATGAGAAATTCAAAACTGTTAATTATTCTATTTCTTTTATCACATCTTTAATAAACGGTTACTTAATTATTTATCTACATTACACTAATATACCACAGAAGTAATTGATAATGTTTGTAAATAATATGAACAATAACACCACACAAACAAACAAACTCCGTGGTTTTAGTCCGCAAGCGAACTATACCGACCGAGCGACCGCCGCTTGTCGGCGAAGTTAGTGCCAACTTTTGCGGATAGAGGGGGGCGCGTGATCAGCGCAACGGATCCCCACGGCCGTTAATCTCGGTTTTCTAGACCAGAGCCGCTGTTTCCTTGAAATAGCTCCCAAGTTATCCTCACGAGGCAGAGTGGACCCGTTCAAGACCCACTACTTCTCAGAAAATGTGGTAGCGCCAGGAATCGAACCCAGACTTCTGGATCTGTAGCCAGGAATTCTGACCACTAGACCACAGAGGCGGTCAATAACACCGCACATATACCTCGATACTTACAGATGAAAGACGGTGGTGCATTGCAAGAAATAATAATGGTTTCCCACTGCGACGGCCCGGTTTCGATCCCAGAGCATTTTTACGGAATTTTCTCTGAATACTTCGGTTTCCTATGTCATTACTCATTCCTTAAACTGCTCCATATATGTTAATTCATCCTATCATAGACGCTACGTAACCGCTATAGAGACGTCTTTAAGCAACCAGTTTGAAGAAAACGGCAGTAATGTAACCTCCGACATTTGTTACGTTCTCATAAGGTGCATACGAATATGTCTCAGGTTCGGTTTCATTTTCTGAATCTATGACAGGCTTATATCGGTCGATAAGTGGGTTTGTAAGACAGCTTGTGCTACAATCAGCTTTTGCCAGCAACTAGTACAGGACAATTCTATAACTGATCACTAGGGAGCATTGTGCTGGAACACTACACAATATGGCGATGTCGTTACGTGCTGCTTACCTACCCCAATGCCACTTTGTCCACCATAAATCCCAGATTACCTGACTGGGCTCGAACCCTGGCCGCCGCGGTGGGAAGCCAGCGACTAACCGCCTGAGCTATGGCACGGCCACTTATATAACTTTCTAATTATGACGCATCGTGAAAGATGTTTTAGGCACAACTGGTACATTCGGAGTTGACATACAGGACGAGTTTGAAACGACCCGCTAGGTAAATGCAAGTTTATTCGAGCTTGGTCCCGTAAGAGTTAAATTATTACGTCTTTGAATAATGCAGACCGATTCATCTGTAGGATGCCCGCAAGTTTCCGGAGTTGTACGTATGTAAAACACAAACTGTTACTTAGGGGTGCAGGGGAGGTGAACGAACGACAGTCCTATTGACTCCGCCCGTTCTGCGGGTTTGTCTACGTCGCCGCCTGCATACTGGAGCCAGCGTAGTAGCCGAGGCGAGCGGTTGGATTTGCTTAAACTTCACTTACAGCTTAGTTTATCTACCGATGAATGTGAGGCCGGTTGTATAACTTGTAGGTACTCGTACTTGTATGTGGCACAATGCCGAACTGTGTTTCAATGCAAAGGGCTTCTGATCGGAACATTTCGTGAATCGTTTCGCGTGTCAAAGTGAAACAGTTTCCTGCAGTTTTTGTTGCGTAACGCTTCATTGGTGAATATCAGAATCAATGATCATGATGCCTAAGAGGCAACCCATCACATCACATAGTAAGTTTTTACGAATATTGTACGTGTTTCCACGAATTTGCTGTGCTATCTACACCTATTTCCTTATCAGTTTTCATTGTCATTTCTTATTTCGGAAACCAAGCATGTCAGCGTTAACACTCTAAATTTATAATCGAGAAGTATCGGGTTCGATTCTCGGACAGTTTCTTATAACAGTGAGACCTGTATTCTGGAGGTAGCCAGGTTCCAGTCTCGGGCAGGTTACTCGTTACTGCTACTCAGGGTTTTATGGCATTCCTCTCTCTCTCTCTCTCTCTCATGAGCAAGCCACAACAATCTCCTTCCTGCTCCTTACCCATTTGCCATTCGATAATATTTTTTCGGTCTAATTTTGCCCTATATAACTTACACGGTTTAAATAATTCCTAAAAAACCTAGACAGACATCGATTCGTTTTTGATAGCTTAAATGTAGTTGGTTTCTGGGGTGGATCCTGTTGGTTAAGGGTCGTCTTTTCCTCCAAAACCGTTCTCGAACACATCTATATCATCTTCAGATGGACGTAAACACATAAACCCAATACCTGATTAATGAATACACTGTTTTTGTAGACTTTTCTAAGTTCTTTCTTATCAAATAGATAACATTTAATTAATTTTCCTCATTTTCGTCGTCAGCTTTCCACAACCACTTCATAAGTCACTTCACCTCTGTATGAGAATGCTATGTAGCAGACATGTCCAACTTCAAAAACGTTGTGATCGAATTTTTAGTGTCAAAGCTGCCAGTGATCTACCACCCCCTCCTATCGTCATACCTCGCTTTAAGCAAAAATATTGATAAAAATAACACGACACATGTTGTTTGTTGTAAAAACAACATACATTGAAAGTACAGACTACTTTAATACGTATTGTCTCTTCAAAATCTGAATATAATCATATTATAAGTGAATTTACATGCTTTTCACGTATAATTTCCTTATAGGCCTATGAGATCGACCAGTCGATCGCGATCGACGCATTGGACATGCCTGCTATATAGAATATAAAATTTTTATGTAACGGTGAGATTACCTTGAGTGGATGGGTGTGCTAAGAGTTCGGAGCAAAGCCACGGGGCGGGCCACTTGCCGGTTATGCAATCGAGCGCCAAAGAAAAAATGTGTTAACAGATGGCGTTGCTAACGTAAATTGTTCGGTATGTTGTGAGTAACGCGTTCATACGTTACTAATCAGTGGTTTCATGAAGTCTCATTTGATGAGACTCTCCTAATATTGGTACGAATTCATATTTACTGCATATTTTCGTTTTATATTTGTATAAATTTCACTCTTCTTTATGGTAGTCCAATTGTGGCAATGTTAGTTCATCATCTTCACCATCACCAACATCAAGCATTGAGGTGTGTTCCGGTTAAATTATCTTTCCATTTCTTACCATGTCTTCCTACTTTCCTTCTGCCTATTGGTTTATAGTCCAGGATGCATCAAAGCAACCTGTAATCAGTATTAATTTAGTGTTGAATTCTAAAGCTATAAAGAATGAGAACAGATATTTAGGTCTGTAATATATATTACGATAGCCCCATACTAACAAAATCTCACGAATCACCTGCAGGAGTTCTACCTTCCAGCGGCTTGAAGGGTGGACCACCGCTTGCGTGACAGAATTGGCTGAGCTGAATTTTAGCGCGTTCTGTACAATATTACTAATCTTCTTCACCCACAATAATGAATATTTAAATATTATTGATTCCCAAACATACGTATTATAACACGACTTGCACTTACGCTAAATAATGCAACAACGTAATTCAAGTAATTACAGTGTAAATATTAAGGTAAGATAAGGTAAAGCTATCCTTGTAAGAGGCCATGGAGGCCCATAGAGTTCTGAGACGCCGAAGCTCCCACATTTTCTAGACAATCGGTTCACAAATGGCGGTGAGGTAGTCAACCTTATGGGTCGGCCGCCCTTTACTCGCAGAAGGTTCCTCGTATTCATTTCTGTTAGAGGCTGAGTCGACCCCCACGCCATAATGCAGATGGTTGGAGTAGGTTCATTGAAAAATTCAATTACCAAATGAGAATCGAACCCGCGTCCTTCCGACTTACAGAATAATAAATATTATGTGTTAAACTTGAGGTTCTCACAGCCCTGAGACGTGACGTCATGAAGCCCGGTACAAGTTTACAACCGTTTCGGAAGAACGCACTGCCTCCGTCTTCAGTGGTGAAGGGTCAGCTAAGCAATCGAGATCCAAGAAGTAATCGCTAAGCAGAATTTGTTGCTTGCTTGGTTTATTCCCGATCCTGTATGTGGAAACAGTACATTCCTTCGAAACATCAGTAAATTTCTACCAGACTACACGGCGTCACATCGCAGAAGCTAGTACGCTTTATAAATGTTATTATTTATGACGTAAATTATTCGTTGGTTCTGAAGTCATGCATTTAAATGTGTCATATACAAATTCTCTTCTCTGCCATAGTATATTTTTTTATTGCTAGTGGGGTGGGACTAAGTCCCTTGTACTGCGGCCACTTCTGGCCTATTGTACCAGCCCCAGATGATAGGTGAGGGTGATAATGGAGCAATTGGTAGAATGAAGATTGGCAGGGGAGACCGAAGTACTGGAAGACAACCTGCCCCAGCGCCACTTTGTCCACCACAAATCCCATTTGACCTGACCCGGAATCGAACTCTGCCATAGTAAAATTAAGATTAAGTATTGCTTTGATGTGATTAACCCAATAAGGTCTGCTGGCAGTACAAATTCTGAACCTTCTACTATGCAGCTCTCTCTGTTTATTTGTTACTTTCTCTTCTGGGGGCCCAAGTAAATGTACTTTTCTCAGCATTTAATTCCCTAATGTGAACACCAAATTTTGATAATAACTTATGTGCTATTATATCACAATGCAACACCACCGTAATTTGTGAAACCTAACCTGTACTGGGTGGCAGAAATTGAGTGTCGAATCACAATGAGTGAGTGAGCCAGTGACTTGGTGCCTTACAGCCCCACATATCGACCACATGACCGGCCCTTTCTTCAGTTCCGATCAATACTAACCACTGAATATCGGTCGGTCAGTAGACTCGGAAGTGACAGGCTTCAACTGTCCTTTCTGTTACACCGAATTTGCTGGCTGCAGTTCACTTTAAGTAAGACTGAACAGGTGTGCCACTTTTCAAAGTAAAAAAATCCCTAAATAGACCTTTCATTATGAAAGAACTTGAATCACTGGAACTAAATTTTACAGGAGAAACAGAAGATTGATTTTTCGTTGCTGTTAGTGTCTAAAGTTACGAATTATTTTATTTTATAATTTTATTCGAAAACTTACTTTTTAGGAAATTATATTTCCCTCACTCTTCTTTCAAAACAAACCCAATACCATGAGGCTGCACCATAGCTCAAGCGTTTGGTCGCTGGCGTCGCTGGTTTCTCACCGCGGCCCGGTTCGATCCCGGGTCTGGTCAAGTGGGATTTGTGGTGGACAAAGTGACGCTGGGGCGAGTTTTCTCCGAGTACTTCAGTTTCCCTTGCCAATCTTCATTCCGCCAAATTTTCCATCATGATAATCACCCGGGTCAGGCTACAATAGGCGAATCAGTGGCCGCCGTGCCGAGTGGACACAGTTGGACTCCACCCCCCACTAAGCGAATTAAAGAAAAAACAATAACATCCCTTATATGTTTTAATGGTGTTATGAGTATGCTTAGTTAATTAAGAGCAGGAGTAATTTTTCCTTGGTTTATTCAGTACTTGTTACATAGTAGATGGCGCTTGAAAATTTACGTATTGCGTGCGGTGCTGGCCTGTCAACGGACAACAGAAATCTGTACATAAACACGAGCAACATCAATAGAGGTCCGACGTCAGAGCTATTGACTACGGCTTGCTCAAAATCGTTGTAATACCAAGACAGGCTTGGTAAGGTCATAGAACGGTCATAGAATGCCCTAGGGCCATAGAATGCCATTCCGATGTTGAAGCGGAAAGAAATTCAATTATCGGTACAGTTTATTAAATATATTGTGAAATTAGCTCTGCTGTTAACACTGATGTTGGTATCTTCCTGCTGAAATGTTTATTATCTCACCGGATCGTTACAGAAAAAGAGGGCGCTACTTACTTAATACTCGTATGTCGGAAGAACTTGGGCTCGCAAACGCCTACATAAATACAGTCCTTGAATGACAGCCAAAATTATCTTTTTACTTGACTTGTGACTGACTAAAACACAAATAATTAGCGGGCTTATTAATTTTATTTTCTCAACAATATCTTTACTTTATAATTCTGTTAATTTCGTTATGTACTTTCAATAAATTCAAAGCAGACCACGAAAATTAATATCATAAAAAACTTCATAATTCGTACATTTCACCTAATAGGCCTGTTGTTGGCGTGTTCATATATATATGACTCTACAGCCCTTTTGTTGGACCTTGACCGTTTTTCCAGTTTCTTAATCCTATACACAGTCGGACTGTCTGGACGGGGGATCAGCTCGTCGCAAGGCCGCTGCTTACACACAGAACAACACAGACACACAATAAACGCACACAGACATCCATGCCTCGAGTGGTATTCGAACCCACGATCCCAGTGTTCCAGAGGGCGAAGACAGTTCATTCCTTAGGCTGCGTGGTCACTGTGATTGGCCTTTTTGAAATCTAGGACAATCAAATGAGATGGACATGCGACCCACAGATAGATACAATACATTAATAAAAATATTTGGTCGGAAAACCTCAAGGGAAATATGAAAGACTTCGACGTATATGTGAGGATAATATTGAAATGGAATTTTGAGAAATTAGCTTGTTAAGATGTCAGAGAGGGCGCCCCACAAAAATAAGACCGTAACTGTCAAATGGTAATAATTAATATCTGGTCATGAGCCCCAGATGGGGCTCGACACCAAGACTTATTGTCTGACTGGCCGTCAGTCGCAATGTGACTTTGACTTTGACTTTGGCAGAGAGTTCAAAAATATAAGAGGCTTAAACTTGGCGGCGGTCAGGCATATGACCGTTCAAGTGACTAGACTGCCGTGGTAGCGAATACTGGTAGAAAGAGTGCATAATCTACAGTACTGAGCCTAGACTGACAGAGACCTTGTATATATTGTGCATAGAAATAGGAATTAAGATTAAATTTGTAGATATATGTAAATACTGACAATGGACGTACTAATACGGACTATGACTTACAAATGACAGACCCGACCTCTCGTCAGAGAGGGCGCCCCAAATGGACAGGACAGTAACTTTCATATCAGGAAAAAAAATCTGGTCATGAGCCCCAGCCGGGGCTCGACACTAAGACAGACACACTGACTGACCTTCAGTCGCAATTTGACTTCGACTTGGACTTGGACAGGCAGTTCAGTCTCAAATCTGAGACAGTAAAATATGGTCAGGAAGCCCAAGGGATTCGGACCCGAAGAAGACTGCGCTGGCAAGGGCCAGCAGCATATACAAAATACAGACCCATCCTCTCGTTAGAGAGGGCGTCCCACGAAAAGAAGACCGTAACTGTCAAACAGCAATAAATATCTGGTCATGAGCCCCAGATGTGGCTCGACACCAAGAATTACTGACTGACTGACCGTCAGTCTCAATGTGACTTTGACTTTGACTTTGACAGACAGTTCAGTTGAAATAGTATAGCAGCCGCCGAAGGCAGTTGAAGTCTGGAAGTGACTATAGCAGAAGAAGTAATTGGGACACTGAAATTGTGAATTGTGTAAGTGTTGATGAAAGTGTGCAATAAATTCGCTAGATCCAAGACAGGCGTGAAGTTATTTGTCGCGTCACACGGCCAACACGTGACAATATTAGAAAATATTTCAGCGTCCATTCGGAGCAGAATTCGAAATTTCGGAGACCGTCTTTATTTTCTTCCATAATTAAGCAAGCTTCAAGACGTATATACATCTTACTTACACAGTGAATTAGTTTTAAGACGACTAATATATGAAAAACCATGTAGATCCCCTACCGCATATCAGATTTAACTGAGATGGTTTACATGTTCTGAAAGATGAAACATGCAGATTAAAATACGTGATATTTTAACATCTCCTATATTGAATGACTTAGAAGTATGCTTAGAGTGAAAGCATAAACTTAAAAAAAACCAACAACACTTTAGTTGTACGTGTATAACTTCCCTTCATTAAGGTACATGGTTCATTTACGAAACTGTTTTTAATTTCGTTATTTTCTTAAAGTAATTATATGTTTGCCGATCACAGTGGCCGCGCGGACTAAGACGTGAATCGTCTTCTCCCTCTCGAACACGGGGATCGTGGGCTCGAGTCCCACTCAATGCATGGAAGCCTGTGTATGCGTTTATTCTGTTTGTATTGTCCTGTGTGTAGGTAGCGGCCTTGAGACTGGCTGATCCCCCGTCCAAGGAGTTCTACCGATTGTGTATAGATTAAGAAACTGAAAAAGCGGACAAGGTCCAAAAGGCTGTAGAGTCACAGAGAGAGAGAGAATTATACACTTTTGCGAATGCGAAGGCGGGAAGGAAGGCCACTAACAGCCAGATGCATTTATTGTGTGGATGACAGAGAAGGAAATGAAGGGTTCGTTGTTCTCCGGCCGGTTTCGCTGACAGAGCAGTACACTAAAAAAATGTCATGCATATTGTGGATAGGAAATATTAAAAACCATTAGCCGTTCGCTTCTTTACGAATGCGCTCTTGTTCAGTGAGTTCCTTTCGTTTTCTTTTTGTTCTCATCGACGTTCGCTTTCTATCACGGGATGGTCAAACAATAGTATCGAAATTATAATTTCGGAACAAAGGTAAATAAAATATTCATGAAATTCAACAACTCAATTTTATAAACTTCATTCAAAGAGAACGATGCCTGGAAATATAGCGGCCAACTGTTTATTTGTAGGGCATGGAAAACCGAGAGAACATTCACTATTGTCATCGTTCAGGCGTGAACAGCAGACACAGGAGGCGAAAGAAAAAATCTGGAATGGATTCAAGAAAAAATATACATAAACATGAGGCTGAAACTGCGTTTCCAGAGGTAGGAGAACGCCAAAGTTAGCCAAATGAGAAAGCTCCTTGCAGCACAGATGCGTTACTGAGCAATTGGAAAACATTCCAGAAAATCTGGAAATTCGTGTTCTTTGGCTTCTGTTCAGAGAGCGTAATTCCACCTCACATGTCACAGTGACCGTCGGTCATTACGCGTTTGTGCCTGTGCATCTTTACATCTGTAGGCACTGCTGAATTTTATGTCTGTACATCTCTTTTATGCCGGTCACGGTGGCCGAGCGGTCTAAGGCATGTACTGTCTTCGCTCGCTTGGAAGCCGGGATTGTGGGTTCGAATCCCACTCAGGGCATGGATGTTTAGTTTGCATGTGTGCGTTTTCATGTGTTTGTGTACAGGTAGAGGCCTTGCGACGAGCTGATCACCCGCCCAAGGAGTCCTACCGAATGTGTAAGATCTAGAAAAACCGAAGTGAAAGGAGAAGTTCATGGAGGTAGCCTAGGCCCACTGGGGCTGTAGTGCCAAGAAAAAAAAACCCATCTCTTTTATATTCTGCAGTGTCCTAAGATAAAGTGGTTACTAAAAACCCTTTGCATTTTCTGGAATATTAACAGGACGAAGTTTATGAATAATTATATATATATATTCCTTCCTCTTCCCTCCCACTTTAGACCAAAAGGCTGATTTCTCAGTTTCATGATCATTTTACAGACGGTAGGACTCCTTGGACGGGTGATGAGCTCGTTGCAAGGCCTCTACCTATACAGAGGACAACACAAATACAGAATAAGCTTATACACACACCAAACAACCATGCTTTGTATGGGATTCGAACCCACGATCCCGGCTTCCGAGAGAACGAAGGCAGTATATGCCTTAGACCGCTCGGCTACCGTGACCGGCATATATATACACATAAATGAACTCGCCTTGACCAGCGTAGGTGTTGCCATTCGTGCATTTCAAGTGCCCCCCAAAATGTTAATTTGTACCAATTTTGCCAACAGCGGCATTTTGTTTTATGTATGCGCGATTTCTGTTTGTGTATACACTGAAACGTTGACGGTTTCCTCACCAAGAGAGGTATATTTATTGGGGGAAGGACTCTAATGACATTCGAATCCATTTCCTGCTATTCACATTATCACCGTGGTCCGTCTTCTTATGACATTTTTCATACTCGTAATTTATCTCTGTATTTTTCTTCGAATATTTGTCTTTATTGAGGAACAGATAACTTAGACTTTGCTAAGTACTAATAGCAGTCGCAGTTTTCCAGGCTGTCAGCATCTCACATGGTTCTGACCTTGCAAACCATGGCATTTTTTCAGGAATATAATACCCGCAGCTACTGAGACGGCTGTATATCTGTGTGTGTGTGCGTGCGCGCGCTTGTATGTGTATGTGTGTATATACAGTATATATGTATATACACATATGTATCCGAGGGACAACGCCCAGCCCATCATAATTTCATATATTCAAGTATCCTGCCAGAAATGGGTAAACAAAGGTAAAGCTATCCATGTAACAGGCCGTGGAGGCCCACTTCTGATAGGCCGTGTAAGTTTTTAATTTTTTTTTTTTGTTTGCAATTTCAGGGATGTTTAACAGGCCACAGTCAGCGAATACGCGGCAAGAGGCCGAAATGATGGGCAAGGCCAAACGGCAAATCACAGTGGTTAAAGATCCAGTGGAGAAGTTGCGTCTATTGTGCCTGTCCAGAGGGACAACTGGCATCTTGGGGCTGGGCAGGTGAGCAGAATATCATAAATACATAACAGCTTTAAAGGAAAAATGCAGGCCGTTTTGTATTTTTAATCGAATTTGTATTTTATTCAATAACAGGTAGTATTTCTCCTCTTAGTATATTTATAACTTACACAAAAAATAATTTAATTCACTTCGTGTTTATTTACGCACAAATTTAACAGCACAGTCGCCAATTACAAAGTTAGCACGAGTACACAAAAATAATTAAAGAGAAAAATACAAAATATGACAGTCTATAATAATAATAACGATAACAACGTCAATAATAATATACTTGATGTTATTGTTTAAGAGGACGTGCTAGTAATGAAAATTGCGTGAAATTGATATGTAGGTTAATATAGCCAAAGAATTTTATTTGACCGAAAATGTTTAATTAAATCTTAGTTTCAAGAATAATTATTTTGCGTATATATTTGTTAATTCATTCATTCATTCATTCGTTCTACGTCGTCAGTAGTTCAAAGTATGTTACATGGAATAATAAAATTGTTAATGAATAATGAATTACCCAGGATAAAATCGGACAAACTAACCGAAAACCAGAAACACTACCATTTGATTTACATTTCTTGGTAAAGCTAACGGTAAAGGTAAAGTTGGCATGTACTGTCTTCGCTCGCTTGGAAACCGAGATCGTGGGTTCGAATCCCACTCAGGGCATGGATGTTTAGTTTGTGTGTGTGCGTTTTTCTGTGTTCGTGTACAGTTAGAGGCCTTGCGACGAGCTGATCACCCGCCCAAGGAGTCCTACCGAATGTGTAAGATCTAGAAAAACCGAAGTGAACGGCGAAGTTCATGGAGGTAGGCCTAGGCCCACTGGGGCCGTAGTGCCAAGGAAAAAAAAATATATAAAGTTGTTCCTGTGCTTAACTAATTAAGGACTACACCATGAAGGCGTATGGGGAAGTGGATGTATAGATCCGTATTTTCTTGACCTCGGCATTAGTTAGAAGTGAGTGGTTAGCTTCACTCCCCTGCCGCTTTATCCCCCCGAGCAAAGAGCCCCCGGTACCCAATGGATAGGAGGCTGGTAAAGCTAATGTAATTTTAAATCAAACTTAACCGCAAACATCAGACATATCCATTCGTTATTACGAGGACAGGTACCAGGGACAGGTTTGCAATGTTAACTGACGAATAAAGATTCAGTTTGTGGGATATTACATAATCAGAAATTTCGCGATTTATATAGGTCACCTTGATAGAAGTGAAACCTAAGAGAGGTAGGATGGCTAGGAATGGGATACGAATACTTACTTATTTGTGGAGCTGAGCCCATCTTGAGAAGAAGCAAAATCTGCAGCTACTCAAGAACTTCCCAGCATTTTATGGAACCCGAAGGTTCATTACCGTGTTCACAAGATCCTGAGCCAGATCAGTCCAATCCATACCATCCCATCCTATCTCTCTAAGATCCATTTTAATATTGTCCACACATCTACGCCTTGGTCTTCCCAGTGGTCTCTTTCCTTCTGGCCTTCCCACCAATATCCTCTATGCATTCCTACAAATAACACACTGGTTACTTAATCGTAGATAGACTGAGGAGATAGGAGTGGCTCAGGGTCGTGCCCAAGTGTGAGCTTCGGTATTAGCGGTGCTGAACCTTTGATTTCACTTATCATAGTTAACGGATCGATTTAAAGTTAATTCAACTGCAATAGTTAAGAAAACCAAGAGCTTATACATGCGTACATAGGTCTGCCGATCGACCTAGAAGATTTCACCATATTTATTCGTCATGAAATCTACAAAATGTTATATGACCAATAAAAGTTAGGATTTTCTCGAATGTAATTTCGAAATTACGTGCGACACCAAGGTTTTTGAGCTTCATTTTTGTTTTTTTATTATAGATCTATTTATTTTCTTCATAGATGTAAACTCTGGCAGAAGAGTCCTTTATGAATAAACCTCGATCAACACCTCCGTTTAATTTAACATGTTTATGAAATACTGAAGCACATTTTATTAAAAATTTTGTTTTTTTCTGTTCGATCATAATGTAGTTAAACAAAATTCATAACTATTCGATCCTAATCGGTTCTACAGTTTTGATATATATATATATTGTATTATTTTTCTCAGTTTATGCATACTCATGGAGAATATCCTTTAACTAATTTATTTTATATTACTAAATATGTACTCCGGATTGATCTGGCTTAGGATAGGGACCAGTGGAGGGCTCTTGTGAACACGATAATGAACCCTGGGTTTCATAAAATGCTGGAATATTCTTGAGTAGATGCAGATTTGGCTTCTCATCAAGAAGGGTTCAGCTCCATAAGTAAGCAGGTAAATACGTACCCCTGAGGATGGCATTGTAAATGTCTAAACATGTCAGAGAATGATTAATTTAAACAAGTTTCCAAATTTGTGTTATAATTGACTGTACAGTGATAAAGAAAGCAACAATGTTTATTTCAACTTAACGTTTCTTCCTTTTGCTTCTGCCTGCACCGATCTGCAGCCCTACCAAGGTCTACCAAGCGACCACTTTGCCATTAAGAGACGTATTGTCGGTAATCAAGTCTCTTGAATAAACATAAGGCAAGAAACAGTACATGTGCTTGCGCGTTATAAAGACGAGCAGGATACACGGTAATTATGCTGCAAAGAACCTCACTCCTCGACCACTTAATAACGTTAATAACCAGGAAAAGAGCCAGCACTACGCATTAGACAGAATCGTGGTTTCACCCCGGAGGCGGACTGAAGATAGTGGGGTGGGGAGCTACCCCTGTAACAGGCCATGGAGGTCCATGGGGTTGTGAGACGTTGAGGGTCCCACATTATCTAGACAATCGGCTCACAGATGGCTGTAAGGTTGTCAGGCTTACGCGCCGGCCGCCCTTCACTCCCCAGGAAGATTCCTTGTACTCATTTCTGTTAGAGGCTGAGTCCACCCCAGGCCATAGTGCGGCTGAGAGGATTAGGTCAATTGAAACAATCCAATGACCTTTTCGGGAATTGACCTCGCGACCTTCCGGCTTGTAGCATAGTGCCTTAACCAACTACACTACCGCGTGCCCCCGAACATATTGTGGAACAGAAAGATTCCCGTCTCTCTCAGGTACTGAACCCCAGCCATTGAAGCTTTCGGCTGGTCCTGATTGAACTATGTAATAACAAAAGATGTGGTCTCTCTTATAGCTGACAATTTTACGTTGGTCGGAAAGAGATTTTTAAGTTTGAGGATCTCACATCGTGACTATTAAGATTACTATATTCTGGAATGTGAAGAAATGCCGCCTGGTAGAAATTTATCGACATTTCGGGAGTAGGTATGCCTCCATCTTAAGGGCCAAACAAGTAAGCAGCAAGCACTGCATAAGTCTGCTTCTCTTTTGTTACTTGTTTAGAGCGGCAGCGCGAACTGCGTGCTTCTTGTTGGTTATTTGTCTACTTTTCAACCCTGAAATGGAGGCAGTAATTTTCTCCGAAACATCACTGAAATTCTAACAGACTATATGGCGTCACATTCCATAAGTTCCGTCTTTCTATAGTCACAGCTGTGAGACTCTCAAGTCTAAGAGATAAGCAGTTTCTTTAGTTAATGTATCTTTGTTACTGTGAAGCAACAACGAGATATTCTAACTTACTCTAAAGGCTAGATTTGTGGGGACATAACTGGGGCAGTCCTCCGGGGTCTCCCTAGAATAGTAATAAAATCTAAGATTTTATTGAGACAGTCGCTTCCCTAAAATCACAAAAAGTCAGTAAAAATTCTTAGTTACTATAAGAGATAATAATTCAGTTCAATTCAATTCTTTATTATTTATGTGCCGAGTCAACAGCCGCAAGGCCAATTACAGACAGAGCACAGTGTAGATAAAAGTAATTACATTATAGACAAACACATTATAAGTCAAAGACAAATTACAGGCAAGTACTGGGAAAACACAATAATGTAGAAAATTAAACAAACAAACAAACAAATGATAATAATAGCAATAATAATAATTTCATTAACATAAATCTAAGTGTGAGAAGTGAGTTAAGTAAGTTAAGAAGTGAGAAATGAAACAAATATTTAATTAAGAAATGAAAAGTATACATATTCAGAGGATAATAACAATTATAATAATAATAATAATAATAATAATAATAATAATAATAATTCAATTTTTCATTATTTATGTGCCGAGTCAACAGCCACAAGGCCAATTACAGACAGAGCACAGTGTAGATACAATACTAGTAATTACATTATGGACAAACACAGCAGAAAGTCAGAGACAAATTACAGGCAAGCACCGGAGGAAAAACACCTTAATGCAGAGAAGTAAACAAACGAAAAACAAAAAAGGAAGTTGGGGAGAGGTAAAAAGAACTACATAACAGAGAACATCAGGATTGTGAACAAATAATATTGACAACTTTAGGGTGATGAGTATAAATATGATGGACAGAAACTGTTCCGATTGCAAATATGTCGAGATCTTTACCCCCCGCGTTGGCAGCACAGGCGCACCGAGCAGAGGGACAGTGTTTATTAGAGGGACCAACACCAAACCGTGAGAAGTCCCTAAGATTGCTGGGAGGAACACGAACACTAATATTTGCCAAAAGGGAAGTGCAGGATTTAAGGTCAATAATAAAAACAATAATAGTAATAAATTGTCATAACCTACATTTGTTGTTGCTGGCAGGGGACTCCACATTTTCATTGCCCTTGAGCCCCGTCAGCGGTAAATCAGGACTCATGTTTAATATATGGGCTTTGTAACATTTTCCAAACTATGACTTATTCACTTGTTTACTTTGTGATATACATTAAATATTCTACATTAAATGTCGTTCAATGACTTTTCATTTGAACGTGAAAATTTCTGGTAGCAACCATATTTCCTGTTTCCTCATTTCAGGATATTTCGACGCATGGATGATGACGGTAACAAATCGCTGAATCTTGAAGAATTCACAGAAGGGATGAATGATACAGGAATGGATCTGAACGAAGAAGAAACCAAAGCATTGTTTGACCGTTTCGACAAGGATGGGAGTGGCAGCATCGACATGGATGAGTTCCTGTCAGCCATTAGGGTAAGCCTTAAACAGATTCATTTTTGTTCTTCTCTCTCATTTTATAACGAAAGTCAGTTTATGCCACCATGTCCGTCCCTCTGTCCCACCGTAAGGGTCATTGCTAAAGGCTCATAAAGTTTGGTACGAAAATCATGATAATAGATTCTAACCCACTGCATATCTTGCTATCTCCGGATTTCGTTATGTCCAAACAGGGTAACGGCGTCCCACACTGTCAGAAAATGGATAAGAGACGCACGAACCTACAAACACGTCCAGATAATACTTAGGTCTCCTCAGCTTTCTACAGAAGAACCAGGGCACACTGGCATAGTGCTTAACAAAAACAGTTTGGTTTGTTTAACAGTGTTTCACAAACTGCGTAAGTTATGTTGTTTTCGATGGCAGCTGGCTATGAACGAATTTATTTCTAAAGATTATAAAATTTGTAAGTGTGAATCCGCATGGCACAGACAAATATTCACTGCGGCAAATGTGTTACCTCCATCTTCAGTGGAAAAGAGTAACTAGAATTTCTTGATTAGTAGGTTTTGGAGTCTGCGCAGTAGCCTTTCCATAAAGGCTAAGTACGTGGGATTTGAGGCTCACGCGACGGTGGCTATGAAAATTATTGTCTTCTGGGGTATGACGTATTGTAGTCTGGTGGAGGTTTGCCGACGTTTCGAAGGAACATACTGCCTCCGCCTTAAAGAGTAGAAGAGCAGCGTTCAAAATCTCTGAACCGGAAGTCTCCAGATTCGCAGATTTATTTCTTGTAGATCCTAAAGAGTTCTGCCGTCGGTGTATAGTACTGAGAATTGCTGAATTTTCGGACTTTGTCCATCATACAGAATCTAGAAACTAGAAAACACAACGGTTAGGAAACTGGATCTCTTTTCTTCCTCAGGTGAAGGGGTTGGGGGACACCTACACTGTTGGGTCCCTTAGAAAGAGCTAACCTCAATCACTGTAGTGACTAAGGGACCCAACAGAGTAGGTGTCTCCCCCTTCATCTGAGAGCAGAAACAGATCAAGTTTCCGATACGTCTTGTTCTCTAGCTTCTAGAATACCAGACGATGGACAAAGTCTGAAAACACGGTAATTCTGGGATTTATTTCTGGTTATTTATGGTTGGGTGGTGGACTTCACAAAGACCGTTGTCTCTATGCACACAGAGACCCACTGAGGATCTGTTGAAGTTACAACCATCCTACTTCGAATGTCTTCTAACACGCAACCACTGGTACGACACGCTATAATAGGTCTCACTGTCTGTTATATTCTGTCGCAAATTAAGGACTTCAATGTCAGCCTCTGTTATTATATAAATCTGTAACAATAGACATTGTATTAACTTGTATAAGCACTATGATGGAGAAGGAAACAGTAGTCTTACGCACGGCAACATATAGTTACGCGAACAATGAAATGTCATTCTAAGCAACGTCCAGATATAAAACCAAGATTCCTCGAAAACATACAGCAGAACTTCTTGTAACGGTATAGAAAGTAACCTGTTGATTTTCAATCTCAGGTAATATTCTTCCTAACATACAGAGTGTTTCACAACTTTAAGGCATAACTGCAGGAGGTGCTTTCCTAGGTCTTTGTGATCAAAAAAGTTCATATAAACATGTGTCCGAGTTTGGACGGTTACGGAGTTATGATCGTTTTTTTCATTCCCGTACACGCCCTCGTATGAACCGTGTCTGTCAGCTGGCGGGTCGCTATCTTTAGCCAAATACAGACAGAGCGTTCTCGTTATCTCGACACTTGAGAGCTACCTAAGGCGGGGTGGGTTGGTATGTCCGGCGCGGTTCACAACCGAGCGGCAGCCTGTGTTGCGGCCGGCGATGGCATTTTCGAAAATCAGCTTAAGCACCAATCAATTCAAATTAAAGGTAATTTCACGAAGTTAACTTTACATTCATACTTTAAATGTATCATGTATTATGCTGTTTTATTATTTTGTTCCGTTTATTGTCAGTAATTGTTACCTTCTATTCTGAGTTTAAAACGGCCATAACTCCGTAACTGTCCAAAATCGGACACATATTTATATGATTTTTTTTTATCAAAAGACCTAGGAAATCACCTCCTGCAGTTATGCCCTAAAGTCGTGAAACATCCTGTATTTGTGGACAGATCCTCATCCTCATTATATTTTTCGCCAGTTTTCAAATTACTGTATCTCTTTAATTATGAGTTGGATACCATTAGTATATTAACATTTTTTGTTCCAAATTACCTCAGGAATGCCCTCCCTAAGTGGGGGTAAAACTTCGTGAATCACCCTGTAGACTTACAGCTACTGACAAATTATGTCGGATTTCAGTTTTCGTGGCGGTGGTCGTGAACAATTCTCCCTTCTGGGATATAACGCTATGCATTTCAAGTAAAAGACAACTTTCACCTTATATCCCTGAAGGTAGAATTGTTCATGCCCACCCACTGCGAGAACCTCAAATCGTCTACTTTTGCGTTGGATTTCATAACCTCATTTGTTTTCTAGCGATCGCAGGTTATATTCAACCCTCGTTACACTTCGGTCATGTCACAAGAGTGTTTGTGAGTTAGCTCAGTGCGGAAGGAGGGAGTATTCAGAGCCGTCAGAGTGTAGAACATATTCATGAGTCCCGTGGGATCGGAACCAAGAATCACTGTGCTGGCGAGGGCCAGCAGCAATTTAGCAGTCAATCAGTCATCGCGTTTGACCCGATTTTGGGAGGATCTCATTTATTTTTACCTGATACAAGTTTCGCTTATTGATAATTTCTGTGTTTCATTTTTATTCTGTTAAATAATATTATCAGGGGCCAATTAATCTCAAGACAATGGTTTCTGAACTTTAGATTGTTGCCGCTCTATTTCCGGTAAACGTTATACATTAGAAATAACCCCATAAGAATGATTCTTCACAAAATATCTCTCAGTCCCCAATGAAACTTATTTATTTTCTCCTTATTTTTACACTTTCACAAAACGTTTCGGCAGTACATGATCATCATCAGGTGTTCTTTTCCCCAAAACATTTCACTATGTGGTATATCCCACTGTTTCTACCATATATGAATGCGATATGTCCTAATGTAAAATAATGGACTCTATTAAAATCAATAAAAACTCAATAAAGTCCAGTTAAAATTTAGTTAAAATTTTTCAGTATTTGCTTTGGGGCTGTCATCTCTTTCTCCAAACAACACTGCGTAGATTTTCTTTGTTTGCATTACTGCGCAGCGCGTGACTGTCTGTTTGTATGTTGCTCTGTAAATATTGATATAGTTATCGTGTATGCCCTCTGTCTGGATGTTCCTCGCCCTTCCTGTGTGCTGGTGGTGGTGTTCCGCGATACGAAGAAGAAGGAAATAAATAAGTTGCATTTGGGACGGAATTACAGTTAGTGAAAAGTATATTAATGCAACAGGATGCTTAAATGCAATATTAACCGTAAGAATGACATATTTTCCCGCTTTCGAATAGCTACTTTGGTAACATTCACTTATTTTGAAGTCCGACGTATCTTTCTGAAGATTAAGAATGTTGTATTTCATTGTTAGTACCGAGTCAAAACAAGGATTTCCAAGCGTAGATTCATGGTCACAAAGATCCATTACATTCACAGCTTCTTACAAATTTATCTGTTTTTTTTTATATGTTACTCTAATGCAAATACTGTGTACAGTACGTTGAATTTGTCTTACAATTGCAAAGAATACTTTAGAAGTATACGCAATTCATACGTTTACAGTTTTGTCCGCTCATCAAGTTTCGTTAACTCCAGTTGTTCGTTGGTTATCGCTATCAAACGTACAGCTAGAGGCAATGTTTGTATTGCCCCAATGTTGTCATTTTACAGGCTACAAAAGCACTATATTAACAAAAGTTGAACATCTTAACAAGATCCATAACCATACACAATTTTGGGACCCTACAAGTTCGTGCGTCCCCCATTTTGTCATTATTTATAATGGGAAATTAAAACGTACGACATTAGAGTGACCTACAGTGGCATAAGTTCGATCCGCGTTTCGTTCAAATAGTTCATGTGACTGAAAATTTTAAATGACGGACACAGAGACCACAGACAGCGTGATACTCTTGTGAAACTACGTTTTCTTTCTTAAAAACAGACAGCAGGCCAAAACCCCACAGTAATTTTCTTAGAATGCCATCACTGAAGAAACAATGTTAAGATCCTTCTGTCACCCATGTATACAGGATACCGTAGGATAAGACAACAGACAGAAAAATTGCCTTTTCGTTTATTTAACTACTCATTTTTAACTTAACAATATTTTTACAGACACTGAAATGCAATAGGAAGATGAGTCTTAACGTGACGGGTGGTGAGCGTTGGAGATGGATGGAACTGGTGCATGTCCATGTCTAAAATCGTGCTTTGTTACGTCCTAGCGGTGATGAACTTTCGTGTGCTGATACCATATTGTTAGATAGCCTATTTTTTATTATTGCTAGTGGGGTGGGACTAAGTCGTACTGCGGCCACTTCTGGCCTATTGTACCAGCCCCAGATGATAGGTGAGGGTCATTGTGGAGCAATTCGTGGAATGAAGATTGGCAGAGGAAACCGAAGTACTCGGAGAAAACCTGCCCCAGCGCCACTCTGTGCACCACAAATCCCACTTGACCAGACCCGGGATCGAACCCGGGCCGCCGCGGTGGGAAGCCAGCGACTAACCGCTTGAGTTATTCGGTAGCCTAATTAGTGGGCAGCTGTTGATAATTGAGAGCTTCGCAAACGTGTCAGAATTGTTATACGGAGCTTGTTGTAGTAGGTAATCTTACCGATAGATGGCAGGAGACACACCTTCCTGTCAATAAAACGTATGGGAGTAGGCCACTCCAGTCTTCGAGCAAGCTTAAACAGATTAAACAGTGTCCATGGCTGAACGCGAATGTGGTGGTGGGCTGGAAACGGAGGAACAGAGGACCAAAGGGCAACAGTAATGGACGTTTTGTCTGAGAACAGCAAAAAAGAATACCCAAAGTCAGTTAAAGCTAGAAGAAAAAAAATGTGCAACGCTTCTGTTAACTACATAAACAAAATCCCTAAATTTAGTAAAACAAGAAAAAGGACTAAAAGTACAAAATATTAGTAGTACAAGTATACTCCTAGAGTTAAGTTAAGAAATATATTAAAAAATTGTGGGGAGACCCCAATGATAGAATAAGACCGTGCTACAGAAGGCCGGATGGGCATTGCCTGGGCCTTTTGTGTGCATACATTTATTTTTTTAATAAAATGTATTCTGTACAACGAATGTGTGAAGTTGGAGAGACTGTACACATACCGACCTTCAAATTACAGTTAATTATTCCTGTAAGTTTTATAATCCAGGACTCATCAATCAATCAGTCAATCAATCCCTGACTAGTGAATATTCGAAACTTACAGACTTGGAGACAAGAAAAGAATAATTAGGAGCTGTGATTGATAGAAGCGCATTTAAATACAATAAAATTTTAAGAACAATACACCCGTATTCGATATGTCTAATATTCAAAGAAATAAATGTGACAACAGGTGTGAAAATACAAATTACAACTGTTCGCATGTTTTCAGCCCCCAATGTCCAACTCACGACTGAAAGTGATCAACGAAGCGTTCAAGAAATTAGACAAAACTGGTGATGGAGTGATCACTATTGACGACCTCAGAGGCGTGTACTCTGTGAAGATGAACCCTCGGTACATGAGCGGGGAGGAGACAGAGGAACAGATCCTCAGCAAGTTCCTAAATAACTTCGAGAAAGATGAGAGTACCAGAGACGGCAAGGTCAGTCAGTCCAGTTCAACTCTCATTTATTTACACGGTAACTTGGCAGCGCAAAGACCAATCACAAAGCGAGCCCGAGTGAAGAAGAGAGAGAGAGAGAGAAAAGCACATACAAATAAAATACAAATATAAGGCAATTTTATAACAGTAATAATGATTATAAAAAGGTAAATGTAAAGTTGTCCCTGTGCGCAGTTAATTAAGCACTACGTCATGAAGACGCATGGACGAATGGATGTATAGATCCACGTTTTCTTGACCTCGGCACTAGCTGGGGGTGTGGGGTCAGCTTCATATCCCTACCGCTTAACCCTCGGGAAAAGAGTCCCCGGTATTGGATAGGAGGCTGGGTGGGCCCCAGAGCCAGTCTGAACGACGTGGAGAAGAGAAAATTCATGATCCTACCGGGACTCGAATTCGAACTCGAACTCCTCAGTCGTCCAGCCCGTAGCCAGTTGCTATACCGACTGCGCTACCCCGGTTCCTAATAATTTAATTCAATTCAATTCGTGTTTATTTATGTGCAAACTTAACAGCACAGTGGCCAATAATAATAATAATAATAATAATAATAATAATTTGCCGGAATTCATCTATCAGTAGAGTGATTGGCTACAGGGCTGGTTTCGATTGCCGGCATGGGCCCGGGTTTATATCCTCGCCACGCCATCCAGACCGGCTCCACTTGTTGCGAAGCGCGCACTCCCTAGGATCATGAAGATGGCCATTTGCATATGTAGCTTTACATCCTGTAACACAACTTTCATCTCTGCCAAAGCAGATACCAGTAATAAGCTTCAGTGCATGGTGATGATGATAATTTGGTTTCTAACACAATTCTGTGATGATTGCAGGTGACAGAAGAGGAGTTTGTTAACTACTACTCCGGTATTAGCGCATCTATCGACAATGACGCGTACTTTGACTTGATGATGCGTCAGTCGTACAGACTGTAAGAATCACGTGCGAGGTCTTGAGTCATGGTCACGCATGGAGGAAGCATCACCGAGCGAGCAGCTGACAGCACTGCTGGAATGGGCAGGACTTGACGATTCCAAGAAGGGAAATAAATATCTGCAAGAAACAAAAGCTTCTTAGCATAAATTATGCTGAGCAACTTTCTCATACAGTCTCTCTCTGCGTCGTATTTCGAAACTCTGAATCTAATTTTCTATTTACGTGATCTCGGGAGAAGCCAATCATTTGAAGTTGGGCACAAAGAACAGCTTAAACTGAGACATAAAGTACCGTATAACACTTTTTATATTCTCAAAATACAAATTTTGTGTAAGTCCCACGTGCCTTCAACATCCTCGATAGCGTAGTGCTTAATTAGTTAAGCACAGGGGCAACTTTATCTTTACCTATGTAAGAGTCCTTTAAAATGCCTTAATTTTCCGCCTTTCTGTTTCTTATCAAGTTCTCCATCCAGGGGAAAGAAGGTAAAGCAAGCGCATTAATTTTACAGGTAATATTACGATATCAGTGAAGTGTCTGGGGAGATAATGAATATTAAATAAATATATATAAGTAAATGTAAATAAATAATTAGCTGTTTTCTCGATATATAATATTTAATTGATTTATTATCTCCTTTAGTTGCTTGCAGTTTGACTGAGAGTTACAAGTGAGATAGTAGTGAAAAGATGGTTTCTTGATGTGCACTTATTGTCTGTTAAGTTGATGACTGAAAAATAAAGTTTAATAAACCTATTCTGATAGATCGGTAAAGAATCTCTGGATTCTCCGAGGACCTGTATCCAACCTGCCCCTCACAGTGTATAAATCCACAAATCGTAATAATTAATAATAACGCGAGCTTTCACAACATAAAAATCAATGCCTTTATGTCGTATTAAAATCCAAGTGACGTAATATTCATCTGGGTTGAACATGACAAATTGAAAACTAGGCGTGCGGAAATAAGCCACGTCAGTTCTCAAAAATCACTCTGTCTGGCAGGTGACAAATAAATTAATTTTAATTGTCTTGACTCTTCATAAGGAATGAAAACAATGTATGGTACAAAAAGTTCCATCACTGAAAAGAAACGAAAAACGTAACTAGCTGTAAAATAGACAATTTTCCTTGTATGGTAAATTCTGACATATTCTTAACGGAATTTGAATATCAACAGCGGAGCTTCATCAATGACGGTTAAACAAAGGAGTGAACAAATAAAAATTTACATCCTCCAGCGACGGAGGAGCCGGGATAGTGCAGTCGGTATAGCGACTGGCTATGGACTGGTCGACCTAGGGTTTGAAGTTCGAGTCCCGTTAGGGTCAAGATTTTCATTTCTCCAATCGTCCAGACCAACTTTGGGGTCCAAGCAACCTCCTATACAATGGGTACCGGGGGTAAGCGGCCGGGGCGTGAAGCTGACCACTCACCTCCAACCAGTGCCGAGGTCACGAAAATGTGGATCTATACATCCACTCCCACATACGTCTTCATGGCGTAGTGCTTAATTAGTTCAGCACGGGGACATCTTTACCGACTTACCAGCGACGGAAAGCGGTGTGAATACGCACAGCATTCATTTACTGGCCACTGCCTCTTTGACCTGCCCACTGCAGTCAATATTACAAAGGAAGTTTACATAGCATGGCAACTTGTCAGTACAATTTTTTCTAAGTAAAATGGCGTCAGTAAAGTACAAGGTTATTCATAAGTCCGTGGAACATTTTAAAAATTCACAACAAATAAACTATGCATCGGATCGTGGTAATTCTTACGCCGATAGAGAATGAATCTCCCCAAGTTTTTTAAAGCCTCCATGGCTGCTAATCTCAAGGATCTTCGCAAACGTATCACCGCTGCTGTGGCTCTGATAAACCGTGATATGCTGACACGGGCGTGGGACGAAATGGATTATCGCATAGATGTCTGCCGTATCAGCAAAGGTGGACACATTGAGCATCTGTAAACTTTATTAAAAAAGAACTTAGTGAGGTTGTCACTATTTCAGTGTAATAAAATTTGGTATCCGTTGCGTAGTTTATTTATTGTAAATTTTCAAAATGTTTGACGAACTTATGAATAACCCTGTATAATTTCAAGTGCCTGGTATTATAGTACGTATGACGAACTGGGTACGCCAGAATATCTACCCACGGTTCTCCTGGAACAAATGTGCCTAATGTCAGATAATAAGACCATGTTTCTCGCTGCATATTCAACTACATTTAATTCAAAATAGATCAGCGTATGGTAGCTGCGACTGTTCGTGAAACTGATGAACCCGAAGCTGTTCGCATGAAACGAAGTCCTATCGCTCTGTGCTTCTCTGAGGACGCCCACAATTTGTAATGCACTACTCAAGTCAGAGTACACTCCAACCGTCCATACTTCAATGGCGCATAAAGATATTGACAATTCTCGAAGCCTGAAGCTAACAACTGAAACCTGCTCAGAGCTGAAGTGTTTAGCATTGGGTCATTCCAAGGGCGTTCGTCTTCATCTTGGCTTTTGAATATACATTAGCTGTTACTGGTAAGACTCCAATGTCGCATATCAACTTCGCCAGAGAGGAAGTTTAAAACTGATTCTATTAAAATATACTTCAGCAATTAAAATTTACGATTATTTTCAAACGTTTATGTATCCTTTGCAAAAAAGTCAATATGTGTGGGATAGATTGGAAGGAAAGCGTGCATTTGATTTATAAACTTTTTGTATATATAAAATAGCTGAGTGCTATTAGGACAAATATGCTTAAGGATTTGATTTTGAAAAGTGTAAATTGAAGCGACCCCCATTTATTTTTCCCCTATTATTTTTTTTATTGCTAGTGTGGTGGGACTAAGTCCCTTGTACTGCGGCCACTTCTGGCCTATTGTACCAGCCCCAGATGACAGGTGAGGGTGATTGTGGAGCAATTGGTGGAATGAAGATTGCCAGGGGAAACCGAAGTACTCGGAGGAAACCTACCCCAGCACCACTTTGTCCACCACAAATCCCACTTGACTAGACCCGGGATCGAACCCGGGCCGCCGCTGTGGGAAGCCAGCGACTAAGCGCTTGAGCTATGGCGCGGCCTTTCTATTTACATTAGTCAAATTTCAACATGACAACTGTTTATGTAGAACTTATGGGACACGCGGTAACGTAGTTGGTTGAGGCACTATGCTACAAGCCGGAAGGTCGCGGGTTCGAGTCCTGGTGTGGTGATTTTTTAGTTTACCTAATCCTTCCAGCCGCATTATAGTCCTGGGGTCGACTCAGCCTCTAACAGAAATGAGTACCAGGAATCATCCTGGGGGTAAAGGGCGGCCGGCGTGTAAGGCTGACAAACTCACCGCCATCTGTGATCCGATTGTCTAGAAGATGTGGGAGCCTCGACGTTTCACAACCCTATGGGCCTTCACGGCCTGTTACAAGGATAGCTTCACTTTTTTATGTAGAACTTCAAAGACAAGTGTGTAGATATCGAGCAGGTTAGTGTAGCGGTAAGTCTTTCGGATCGACTCTCGACCGGGACGCCGGCTATTCTGACTGAAATTTTTGTGGTTCTCCTCAGTCTCTCCAGTCAAATTTCGGGATAATACATGAACTATGCCACCACTGTCTCTTTCAAAATCCTCTTGAATTAATTATTCACCAATAACCGAATGTTAATCCGACTCTGTATAGATACTGACAGGGACGGCAAACAAACTACACACCATAACAAATGTTTAGATATTTAGAAACAGCAGAGAAAGGATGAAAATTGTTTCCAGTTATTAACACACTTTTTCTAAGAAGTAGGTCTAGATGATACTAAACACCTTATATTTAAATTGAAAATCTTGTCACATATTTTGTGTTCATTGTGTAGTTCTATTTATTTTTGTGAGAATATCTTAATTCCGCTGAGGTAGGCCTACAGGCCGCTGGGTGAAACAAGACGCTTGACCTCCCGAGATCTTCTTTCATGAAACACGAAAAGTTTTGACCTTCCTTCTTGCCTCGTCTTAACGGTCTGTACGTTTCATACAACATTTGGGTTTCTCCGGCTGTAATACTTCTAGGTGTTGCAGCCCAACTTAGAAAGTATGGTATAGGACTGGACGTGTGACACAGAAAGGAAATGTCTGTCTTTCAGCTCTCGAGTGCAGTGAACACAGCGTCTGAGCGAGTAGCTAATGAAAATAGGGCGAAATCGGGGCTGCAATGCTTACGGAACCGTAAAAATTACGGATCTTTGCTCTGATACCTATTTCGTAGTGGGGGGAATGATTCTTGGTTTCTAAACCCTACACAATGTATTCTCAACAACTTCCATTTTACTGTTTACGTTTAACAACTGACTGAATCTTATTTCACAGTCTTACGCCTTGGGTAGTTCGAACGATCCTTGCTGCCATAAACATCGCTAGAGTCACACGAAGTGAAATGGCTGCTTGCTTAAAGCAGTCACTGTGCCATGCGCTATGCATTAGCCATTGCACCACCCATATAGAATGGGATCTCTCTGTTCACGAACTCTGCTATGTGTCACATATTTGATGCAGGCAGGTTCTGTTGTAGTATTAATTCAGTATGTTGATATTAAATCTTGACTTCATGGCCCTCCGCCATTTTAAAGAGTCATGTTTCATGATAATGCCGTTATACGAGTGAACATGAGCCGGTTTTCAATTCCAGGCATATACTGTAATATTTTTTTTTTAGTATTGATGCAAAGAAGAACTTGGGGATTACTAACAAAACAAACTTCGTGGCTTTAGTCCACAAACGAGCTATACCGACCGACCACAGCTTGTCGGCGAAGTTAGTGCCAACTTTAGCGGGTAGAAGGTGTTGCGTGGTCAGCGCAACGAATCCCCACGGCCGTTAAATTCGGTTTTCTAGACCGCAGCCGCTACTTTTCCATTCAAGTAGCTCCTCAGTTATCCTCACGAGTCTGAGTGGACCCCGTTCCAGACCCACTACTTCTCAGGAAATCTTGTAGCGCCGGGAATCGAACCCGGACCTTTGGATCTGTAGCTAGGAACTCTGACCACTAGACCACAGAGGCGGTCACTTGGGGATTACTGGATTTTTGGACTTTGTCCAGCATATGGTATTCTAAAGAGCATAATTCGAAACTGGATCTCTTTCCTTCCTCAGGTTAGGGGAGACGCCTGCTTCGATGGGTCCGTTGGAAAAATGACAGAGGTTAGTTCTTCCTAACGGACCTGGTCACTGGACAAGAATACCGGACGATGGACGAAGCCCAAAACCCAGTACAGCAATACCTCTCATAGACCGGGTAATCGGTTCCGCCATATCCCGGACTGTTTGAAACCGGACTAATGGAGGAACTAAATACATACAAAAAATGATAATTGGTTCCAATAAAAAAATCTCCCTTTTTCAATAAATGAAACGCGACTAATACATTCAAATGTCCTTATTAGAAATAATTTTAAAAAATTCATGTTTTTCGCAATTCACTTTTATTCTCTAAAATTTGCAACATTGATGTCTGCACATTTTTCTTCTTTGGCCTTTTCTCTTCATACATTTCTTTGTAGCAACGAATT